TGGGCAACAGCCTCGAACCCGTGAATCACTTCAAGACTTCAAGACTTCAAGACATTGGACCTCTTCTAAAACAGAAATTTCCGAACATCAGACTTTACCCTATAGATCAAGAAACAGGCAAAACTACAAGCCAACGAGCTTTCTCCCCCTGTAAACTGGACATTGGACATTGGCCACCTGACCTGACCTGACTTGACCCGTCCTTGTTTGTCAGGTTTCCATGGCGCGTGGACCAATTTCTCGGTCAGCAGCTGATCGCATTTTTTTATAAGGCTTATCGGTATTGTTTTGATGCGCATAATAAACAACTGCGGCCTAATTTTTGCTCAATACATAATTACAACCTATGAGTCCCGAGAAAATAGAATCTTTCCGTCAATTTACCGGTAAGTATTCACTGACTACTTATTTTGCGTTTAAGGGGCGGATGCTGAAACTGCCAGATCTTTTCTAAACCTTTGTGAAGACAACTTAGAAATGGCCGTTGGTCTGTACATGGATGATCCGAACTCCTGCAGTTCTAATACAAATATGGCTCCCGTTCTGGAAGAATATCGCAGTCCAATCCCACAACGAACCGAAAGATTGATCCCGGTAGATGTGCCTATATGTGAGTATGCAAGCGCTAAGGGATAGATTGCCCATTTGGCTCCTAATAGTTGTTATACCACGGAAGCGTTATTTACACTTGATAGATGTATCTGAATTAAATTTCAAGTTATCTCTTATGAATGTTTGACAGGTGTGCCAATAGGTCCGAGTACAAAGATTACTTTGTGATGAAAATCTTTATCATTTACAGTGTTCAGGTAAATATTATCGTTTGAAAATGCTATTAGTTAAGTATATGCAGCAGTTTAGTTGGGATACTAGGGTGAAACAGAAATGTCGCTATTAGGGGCATCCCAGAGCCGTTTTGTAGAGAAATGCGCAGCCGCAGGCAAGCGCTTCTACACCAAGTTAGAAACAATCCAGTTCGCTCAGATCCCCTCATGGGTGCAAATCAAGTTTTGCGCCTTGAGAAGTGGCAGAACGATCAACGGGCACCTAGCGCCTTACCACCCAGGCCAACTCTTGTAGAGCTTTATAACCCGAGGCACCGGGGTTTGATGCTGTCAGCTTCCACCAATGTGAGGAAGTTGACCGAAGGCCAGGTGACCATAGGGCCGGACTACCCCCGCGACCACAACATAACGACTTCACCTAGCTGCAGGCAGCAATTTAGCACCATGTCCGTTAACGTACCGAGAGTGGGGCGCAGGAAAACGACCCATGCTCCCAGGGTTGATCCGAGGGATGAACCTCTAAGGCACGAAGACCACAATATGGCGGAGGACCCATAGGGGAACTCCACCACTAGAC